GTGGGCACCCGTGGTCCCAGCTACTTGGGAGGCTGAGGCAGGAGACTCGCTTGAGCCCAGGAGTTGGAGGTTGCTGTGAGCAGGGAAGCCATGGCACTCTACCCAGGGGGACAGCTCGAGGCTCTGTCTCAAAAAAAAAAAGAACTGGTGACCAGTTCTTTCCAGCCAGCGCCGAGCAATGGGCATCTCTTGGGACAACTGGCACAAGCACTGCAAGACCGGGGGCAAGAGAAAGCCCTACCACAAGAAGTGAAAGTATGAGTTGGGATGCCTGCGGCTAACACTAAGATTGGCCCCCTCCGAATACATACCGTCTGTGTTTGGGGAGGTAACAAGAAGTACCGTACACTGGACGTGGGGAACTTCTCTTGGGGCTTAGAGTGTTGTACTAGGAAAACAAGGATCATTGATGTTGTCTACAATGCATCCAGTAATGAGCTGGTTGGTACCAAGACCTTGGTGAAGAACTGCATTGTGCTTATTGACAGCATACCATACCGACAATGGTATGAGTCCCACTATGCACTGCCTCTGGGATGCAAGAAAGGAGCAAAGCTGACTCCAGAAGAAGGAATTGTAAACAAAAAACGTTCAAAAAAAATTCAGAAGAAATATGATGAAAGGAAAAAGAACACCAAAATAAGCAGTCCTCTGGAGGAGCAGCTCCAGCAGGGCAAGCTTCTTGCATGCATTGCATCAAGACCAGGCCAGTGTGGCCGAGCAGATGGCCATGTGCTAGAGGGCAAAGAGCTGGAGTTCTGTCTGAGGAAAATCAAGGCCCAGAAAGGCAAATAATTCTTCCTCTATCTTTTTTTTTGTTTTGTTGAAGTTGTCATTCTTTAGCTGGTCCTGGGTCTGAACCCACCAGTCTTCACGCATGTGGCTGGTGCTGTAACCACTGTGCTACAGGCAAGAAGCCTTCTTCTCTTCTGTCTTGGTTCATGTAATAAACCTTCATTATTCAAAAAAAAAAAAAAAAAAAGAACTGGTGACCACTTCCACAAGCTTGTTGCACAGTCTCCTACAGGATAGCGTTGACAAAGCTCCATTGGAATCAGATGTAGCTCTAAAGAAAAAAGAATGAGGCACATTCAATTATAGAATTGATGACAAAGTCAATGTTGTCTGCAGATGGAATGATAACAGTGTTGTCCCTGTTGCCTCATCTGGTGCTGGTAATCAATCCCCTATGTCTTGTCAATCATTATTCCCAGAAATTGAAAAGGAAGATCTAAGTTTAGCCAAAAATGATCAAAGTGTATAAGCATTTCATGGGAGACTTAGAGCTGATGACAACAATGATAAGTATCGGGCATCAATCTGTGGAAAGAAATAGTATTCAAGCCCCCTTTTGTTCTGTTTCAAATTGGTCTTACAAAATGCTTGGCAACTGCACAATGGAAATGATGAGAAGCCAGTGGATTTTCTGGAGTTTCGTGGACCTGTGGCATGCCATTGTCTGGAGACCCATGGTCATCCTCCAGAACCTGGCTGAAGAGGAAGACCTTCTCAGAAATGAAGCCTCAGTTTTTCTATTTTTAGTAGAGAATGGGTCTCCCTCTTGCTCAGGCTGGATATTGTCATGCTATAGATATTTCCAAAAATGGGAAAAACAATATTTCCTTCAGTAGATGAATGGACAAATAAAATATGGTACATTCATAACATGGCACACTGCTCAACAGTCCAAAGGAACAAATTCCTGATTCATGAAAAAAGTGAATGAATTTCAAAACCGTTATGCTCCATGGAAGAGGCATAATGAATTAAAAATGCAAACTAATCTGTTATGACAAAAAGCACATCAGTGGTTGCCTGGGGCCAGGCAGCCTCATGAAAATGAAGGACTGCTACATAGTAAGAGGGAGGAAAGGACTACGGACATACTCAAGGAAATGTGTTGAAGTGATGGAATGTTCTGTGTCTTGACTGTGGTGGCAGTTTCTTGGGTATATATTATTTCCAAAATTTGTTGAACTGTATATATGAAATGGACGCATTAATTATAAAGTGCCACAATAAAATTGATTTAAAAATCAGTAGCATAGCAAATATTGAAGAGGATGTGGAGAAACTGGAACCCTCGTGCATTGCTGGAGGGAGGACACTAAATGAAATGTCCCATGACTGGGCAAGGTGGCTCACACCTATAATCCCAGCACTCTGGGAGGCCAAGGCTGGTGGGTCACCTGAGCTCAGGAGTTAGAGACCAGCTTGAGTAAAATTGAGACCTTGTCTCTACTAAAAATAGAAAAACTGGCTCGTCATCCATAGCTCAGCAGTTAGGGTGCCAGCCACATACACCAAGGCTGGTGGATTCGAACCTAGCCCGGGCCTGCCAAACAAGAATGACAACTACAATAAAAAAATAGCCAGGGGTTGGGGTGGGTGCCTGTAGTCCCAGCTACTTGGGAGGCTGAGGCAAAAGAATCCCTTAAGCCCAAAAGTTTGGCTTGGCACCTGTGGCTCAAGTGGCTAAGGCACTAGCCACAAACACCTAAGGTGGCGGGTTCGAATCCAGCCCAGGCCCGCCAAACAACAATGACTGCAACCAAAAAATAGCCGGGCACTGTGGTAGGCGCCTGTGGTCCCAGCTACTTGGGAGGCTGAGGCAGGAGACTCACTTGAGCCCAGGA